GAGGACGTAGGGAATAAACGCCCTGCTGATGTGTGGAGAAATGTATGTGATCCCGCCCACTTTTGGAATGACCATGTCTTTGTATACGCGGTAGTGATCGACTGGGTGATCTGGCCTTAAGCCTGGTGGGGCTGTCTCCCCAAACAAACCTGGGTCGGGGCAGATGCATGTACAACAAGTAGGTTGTGATCTGTGTATATGCCTAAGTATGGGTTGGATTTTTCCCATGCATGATCTGCGCGCAATTGACATTTGATGCATGAGAATTATTATTCACTCCTTTCCTTTTGCCCGTCGAACGGCTATCTGATCTATCTAAGTTGATTCGGATTTGGTGGGAACAGATCATGTGCACGCACATATACGAATGATCCCCAGACGGTAGTCATCCCGTATACACGTGTCTGCATAAGCTGTTCCCGACACCACCTCCCCTTGCACAACCGAATGTATGTGATAGGTCTCTCTTGCAAAATATGGATATCGGTGTTCCATTTTGGATCACGGACCGTGCTAGCTTAAGGAACCCCGAGTACCGGGAATACTGGGAGAACGAACAGCTCTCCCGCCGATCAAACTCAAGGCTCCCGGCCTACCCCTGTCAAACGGAGGGCGATTGGTTGTGTGCTTGGGACTTCCACCAGGCCATCGGACATAATTCCCGAATCCCAGAGTACCCAGACATCCGTTGTCACCAATACTACACCTCGCTGGGATTCGTCGCCATCAAGACCCACTTCCCTCCATTCCACCTCCTCCTTCCCTACCACCGTCTGATAGTCGTCCCCTGGGAGTCAATTGCGCACTACTGACCCCGGAGGCCGTGTTTTGAGTGTCAATAGTACAACAATTACCGAGCTGCAGGATTTGTTCGACGGACCCGCTCCGAAGTTGAGCACCAAGAACACAGTCTCCAGCTGAGGTCGTCCTTGTCAGACTTCGAGATCAGTGACACCCGTCGTCGACAGGTGTTTGAACAAAGAGACGCTCACTATGTTCCATCAGTGCACCAAGTACGAGCCCGCCCTAGGCGACGGGGCCGACGAAACTAGTCGCTCGATCCTGAGAAAGGCAAAACTCAAAACCTGGTCCTGCGAAGAACCACTTGCATTTCCGTCCTTGAAACTTGACACCGGAGATCTCAGTTCCGGCCTGGGACTCCACCCCACTTTTCTAAAATCCTTGGCACACCCCTACTACGCCCTTCCGGGCCCTCGCTTACTCCGAAAATAGGAAGTCGCGCTAGGTGTGAGGTTGGGCGTCAAAGGTGGGGCATCCCGGAATCCCATATTGGGTGGGGCTAGTCCACATGGTGTGACGGGACAACGTGCTGATAGAACGCTACCCTCTAAGCAAAAATAGTAGCCTGCAAGGGAATAGGCAACCTTTCATATGGTTGTGTAAGGGAAAGGTAAAGGATCAAGGTCCTGGAAGGAGGGGAGAGGAGAGCATACCGCCCAAAGACATCGCTGAGGAACTGCCATTGGACCCCTGGGAATCGCAGTGGATCCACACCAGGGGGAGGGGAGGAACCCCATAGAAAACGCTGAAGCTGACCAAACTGAAGGTGAAGCCAACAAGAGAGATAATCACGTCTTAAGTTGTCGTCAATAGAAATACAGTCAGGCTTCGAGTTGGGGGGCGCGCATTAGCACTCGCGAAATGGCGGAGCATGCTGACGTAAACGCGCGTGCTGGAGGTGTGGTGTTGGCAGCGTGCGCTTGGCAGGGCGTTGGTCAACCATCGGTGGCGAGGCGCTGGTTGTGCGCCGGTAGCAGGGCGCTGGTGGTTCGAAGGCGGCGAGGCGCTGGCTCCCTGAGAGGAGCGGGGCGTTGGTCGCTCACGGATGGCGAGGCGCTAGCTACAGGCAAGCAACGAGGTGCTCGCGACTGGCTGATGGCGTGGTGCTGGCTTCGTACACGTGGCATGGTGCTGACAGCTAGTGCGTGGCGACGCGTTGGCATGAAGATGTTGTGAGGGGATAGAAGGATCTGGAGATAGCGCTTAACACACGCGTGGCATCCAGAGGCGCTTGGCCAATCCACGTCACAGGCTGACGTGGCGGCTGGTTTGAAGCATTGTGAAAAAACGAAAATGGTGCTGGAAGCTGCTTTTTGTCCATTTACCCTGTGCTTTCCACATCAAGTACTCCATAGCCAATGCCCTTATAGAGGCTGGAGCGCTCGAGCGAGTTCGCAAAAACCAACGTCGGTGGAAGAAAATGGAGTCAGCCCCGTGGAACCGAAGTGTGGAGAACGCTAGACGAGCTTGGACCATCATCACAACAAGAGGATCGTCGGCGAGATTATCATCAAGGGAGCTCTTCTTCAGTCTTGTGTTCTTTTGTTGTTGTTTTTTCGTGTGCAGGATTTTTCCCCCGAAGCGTTGGTTTATCATCGACATTGCCACTGGTTGTCTTCACACATCAAAGTTGCTTGACCTTCACGTCACCCGCGTCTTTTTTTGCCGCTGCTTGCCATCTGCATTTCACTGATGACGGTTGTCATCCTCACCATTTTGAAACGGTATTCACCAGTTCGCAGTAGCGAATGTAGATCCCAGGGCTCGATCCCTAGTTCCCCGTCTTACGTGTGTACAGTACCAGTGTCAACCCGTAGACTTGAACCTGCGACCTGTAGGGCCGCCAGTGGTAAGTAGGTTCTCGTAGGTCACAGGGTAGAAGGGAATCGAGCTGCAGACCTGTGGGGTAGGAGTCTAGACAGTTCCGAAGTCGTAGTTGTAGGATGTCTGAAGGGTCAAGGTCGTAGCTGCTACTTACCTGAAGGGGCAAAGTCGTAGCTGCCACAGTACCGAAAGGCCAAGTTAGAGGTTTCTAGAAGTGGCCTTTCGGAGGGAGCCTGCGTTGAACAGAGGTAAGTGGTCAAGTGGTGGTAGGCCACCTCGCTGAGTCAACAGTCCCAGTTAGGCAGTCCGGTCCTGTCCAGCAAGTACCGTCTGGGACTGTGTGCACCAGGGGCCAAGGGACACAGGGCAGACCAACGCCGCACATAAGTATAAATCAAGAGGCTGCGTCCAGCCATTATTCATTCCTGCGGAAGCCATGAGGAAGCGCTGCCTCAGCAACTTGTGCGAAGAGGTCTGCAGAAGGCCCGAAGACGAAGTGGGCGAGAGTGGCGTACTGTAGCCATAGCAGTAGGGTAGCAGCGGCCATAGCCGCCATAGCTGTAGCATAGGGGAAGAGTGTGTGTACTGTGTGTGTATACTGAGTATCGCGTATGGGACATCCAGGGTGATCCAGAGTGTGAGCAGCGAGTTGTTTGGGCGCACAACCGCCATAGCCAATTACAAGAGAACTCTGAGTACGGGGGCGCATGTCGCCCGTTTGCTGTTTTGTTGTTCACGTGCATGAAAAATGTGAATAAGTCGAGTCTGATTGCACTGGTATCGGAGCTGGTACCCACTGTTCCGCGCGCGCCGTTGTGTGCAGGGCCGATGAGCCATAGTTGAAGTGGCCACTGGAGAAGGCAGTCCGCGATAGTGGACCTCGAGGTGGAAGAAGCCGCCGCGCACCTGCAACAAGAAGACCACGACGAAGAAGAAGACTGAGAGAGAGAGAGAGATGAGAGATACAAGATTGGGTTCTTACCTGCTGCGCTGAAGATACCGCTACGGCGGAAGAGAGAGAGAGAGAGAGAGAGATGAGCGATCCAAGATTGGTTGTCACTTACCTGTGAGGCGAGCTGCGCTGTCCGACGGAGGAGGAAGATAGCGGCCATAGCCGCGGAGCTTCATCACAGGGCACCGAAGGAGAAGACAAGGAGGACAGAGAAGGCGGGACTAAGGAGAGAGAGAAAGAGAAGTGTGGAAGGAGGACGCTGGAGAAGAAGACAGACATAGCCGGGGGCGAACGAAAAAAAAAAAAAAAAAAAAAATACAAAGAAAGTGAAGAAGAAAAAGAGTGAAGGAGGGGGAAGTAAGCGGCGAGGGTGACGAAGGTGAAGGTGCCGGCAGCCATAGCCGAGGTGAAGGGTTGACCGGGCGTTGACCAGAGCGTTGACCAGAGGGTTGACCCAGGGTTGACCAGGCGTTGACCGAGGGTGTTGACCAAGCGTTGATTGGGGGTTGCCCGCGTTGACTCGGCGTTGACCAAGGCGTTGATCGGAGCTGCTGACCAAGATTTTGACCAAGCTGGAGCTGGTGATATCTCGTTGAGCCCTTAGCCTATCCCCTTACCCTGTGGATGTGCACTCACCCTACGGTACTTGCTGAGTTTGAGTCTGGCTGTCTTTCCTTTCTGCATTGAGTCTCTTCTGTCCTAGGTGTTAGGACTCTGCGGATGAAGGATAGGGCCTTGCTGCCAAACCTGCACGGGACTTAGTAGGACTAAGCTCTACTTTGGCATCTGGAGACCTGGGCATGAGCGGCGAGTGCTCGTTAAACAACTCGTCTACCCTAATGACCGGTACTGTCCGGCAGGTCTACTGAGTTCAGTGTAGAGGGTCCGAACTCCGAGCTGTAGGCTGAAACGAAGGTCGTCTTTAAGTGTTGAGGCCTGGTTGAACCACTCCCCTACCGGACCCAGTAAGGCTGATGATCTGTGTCTGACGACTCGACTGTCCCAAGGGATACGAACCCCTCCAAGGACCGGTACAGACCGACGGGCTGCTCGGTGTGGCACAGTAGACCGGAGCGGCTGAGTTGTGGGCTGAAATCGCTAGGAAGAACTACGCTGATCACGTCGTCCTGACTGCGACGTTAAAGAATTTTTGCGGAGTTTGGGGGATCTCCTTAAATGCCTCCTGATCAGCTGTTAGTGGTAATTGTGAGTAGTGGATCCTAGAGAGTCAGTCAGTAGGTCAGTGTGTCCGGGTAGGTCTAAGTGGTGAGGAGTGGGACATTGTCGTGCACCTGACGCCACGATAGATGATTATCTGATGTATGGGTTGCTGGTTGGGTTCTCTCTCTGGGGGACCCTCTGGCGTCTCCTCTTTCCTCTGGGGTTTTGGCACACCTTCACGTGTAGAGTAGATACCCGCGGTGGTGCCTCCACCAAGCCATACACGAAGGAGGAGGAGGTGAAGATGGCCGTCATTCTGCAGGAGAGGAAGGAGAAGAAGGAGGCCAAGAAGAAGGCCTTGAAGGAGGAGCGGGCGGCCAAATTGAAGAAGATAGAAGAAGAGATGGCCAGAGAAAAGGAGAGGATACAGAAAGAAGAAGAAGAGAAGTTGAAAGAGGTGGAAGAGGAGGAAGAAGATGAAACGCCACTGCAAAGGAAGAAGGGGCAGTACAGTGGCAGTAGGGACGAGGAGATGGAGAAGCGGATCTCAGAGTGGGTCGCCAACTAATCCTTGGACGAAGAAGAGGAGGTGGCGATGTATATCTCTAAGGACGATCAGGAAGCCGCTATGAGAGCTTGGGAAGCAGAAAAAAATGTTGTGAAGCGGCAGGCAATGGAAAATGAGAAGAGAATGGAATGGAGGTTGGCAGTGATGAGGGAGAAGAAGAGGAGAGTGGACGCGGCAGTTTAGGCGGCAGAGGAATTAGAGGAGGTAAAAAACATAGAAGAGCAACTAGCCGCCCAGACTGAACTCCCAGCCCAAATGCGAGTCATAGCTCGAAATGTTGCACGGCTGACACGAATTCAGGCGGAGCAATATGACTTTAGTAGGAGTCAGCATATAGCTGTGCGCTCAATAAAGTTGGGGTTCCAGGACTTTGTGCATGAGCTGGTAGGCGCTATAGGAACCGAGGTGGGCCACCGCCTCGACAAGACTGAGCGATTCTGTGCCGGCGCCATTGAGGGCGTTAAAGCAGCAGCCCCCAAGGAGGAGGAAGTACGTCCTCCTCGCCGGGAACCGGTCAAGGTCAAATTCCCTGATTCCTACAGTGGGAAAAGGGAAGAGAACTTTGACAACTGGGAAACCAACGTTAAGACCTGTGTGCACTTGCAACAGGTCTCCCCGGATCAGCAGGTTCTAATTGCGATCCACGCGCTGAGAGATGAGGCCGCCAGTTTTGCAAGGTCCCTAGTTCGCGCTGCCAACTGTAGTGACGATCCCGTTGCGTACTCCTCGTTCACGTCCCTCACCAAATTCCTGAAGTTGTTGCGCGAGAGATTCGTTGATGTCGCCCGCAGCGTTAAAGCCTCAGATAGGCTGCAAACGATTCACTCTCAAAAGTGGAAAAGTGTCAGGGCCCTTAAGAGTACAATGGATGAGTTACTGGTTGTCCCTGACCACGGGGTTACGGACACCCAGTTGGTCGGCCTCTTCTATCGGGCTATACCCGAAGCCCTTCGAGGGCATTTCTTCGCAAAGAGCGAAGACCCTGCCATTACGTACGATTCTCTTAGTCGTGAGGTGGTGGCCTTTGAGGCCAAGCCTATGTCTGTTTCCACCTTCTGGCACAAAGATTTGGATAAGGGAAAGCAATGGAAGGGCCACACTATTTCTGGGCAGGTAAATACCAAGGACAGCCTTGTCCTGACCTTAGATGAGGGTAGTGTAGATGAGATCCCCTACGAACAGATCGAGTGGGGGTTAGAGGAAGAGGACAGCGGTATGGGCCAGGGGAGGACTTACGCTTCTGTCGCGGCTGGAGGGAGGCCGCAAGGAGGACGAGGCCAGGGCCAAGGGGGTCGGGCCTCAGGGAGCCGGTTTCAGGGCGATCAGGGGGTTGGCGGCAGAGGAGGAAACCGCCAAGCGGGAGGCAGGGGTCAAGGTCCCCCGCAAAACCGTCCTAGGAATAGGTCTCCCTATAGGGTAGGAGGATGGCACCCGGGGCTACCACAGGGTAGGCCTTGGGAAACTTTGGGTCTGGATCAGACTTTATGGCAACAACGATTGGACCAGGGCCAGTGCATTTTTTGCAGTGACCCGGGCCATATCATTAAATATTGTCCTAAGTATCGCGAGACCCGAACGGCTGCCCAAGGGCCAAAAGGCAGCCGCCGGTAGGGGTAGCAACTGCCCCTACCATTAGGCCATGTGGGGAACATAGCGCTAGCCGGCCGGAGACTCCCACACCACATGTGCCTATGGCAGAGGTTGCAGGCCGGTGTCTAAATAGTTGCCCAGAGACCACTTGTATTAGGGTCTCTCTAGACACCTCCCTCACAGGCGTAGCCGAAGAGTTGAAGGAGAGGACGCCCGCCTGGGCCAAGATGAAGAAGGAGAATAAAGGGCAGTTGATCTTACTAGATACTGAGATTTTTAGAAGTAGAGTAGGGGCCCTAGTAGACTCAGGAGCCACCCGCAGCTATATCAGTAAGAAAGCGCTGCAGAAGTTGAGGCTGGGACTTAAAGTCCAGAAATTGACCGACCCCATAGTTAGTATCCTCGCAGACAATCGTACCATGGTTGTAGAGGATTACGTAGAGGGAGTCCAGGCGTATTTCCACCTAGAGAAAGATGGGAAAGTGGAGAAGGTCCTCCACTCCCTGACTCTTCTCGTAGAAGACAGCCTCCCATTTGATATTGTTCTGGGAATGGATTGGGGAGAGGCAGCCGAGGCCACGCTCCATTTGAAGGAGCACGAGTGTAGGCTCCCTAGTTCTTCAGGCGAGGCTAAGACTGCCCGCCTGTTCCATGTGTCAGGAGTAGAGAACCCCTTGGCACATTGCTGCCTTAGTGCGCCTGCATTCGCCAGATTAGTGAAGAAGGAGAAACTGGAGGAACAGGGTTTTGTCGCCTATGTTAGGCCGGTGACTGAGCCTAAGGAAGAAAAGCCGATGGACCCTGCGATTGCCAAGCTGCTGGAAGAGTTTAAGGACTTGACCGAGTCGCCGACATTGATAGTACCGCGACCCATCCAGCACCGCATTGAGATAGAGCCTGACAGTAGAACTCCTAAGGGCGCTGTATATAGGATGTCCCCACGGGAGTTGGAGGAGCTTCGCAAGCAATTAGACGAGCTCCTCGAGAAGGGTTGGATTAGGCCCAGTTCGTCTCCTTTTGGAGCGCCTGTTCTCTTTGTTCCTAAGAAAGAGGGAGAGCTGAGGATGTGCATCGACTATAGGGGTCCGAATGCTATTACAGTAAAGAATGTTGAGCCACTGCCTAGGATAGACGATCTCTTACATCGAGTGCAGGGGGCGAAGTATTTTTCCAAGATAGATTTGAAGTCCGGATATCATCAGATAGAAGTGCATCCTGATGATCAGTATAAGACAGCCTTCCGGACTAGATATGGGCACCACGAGTTCATAGTGATGCCCTTTGGACTAACCAATGCGCCAACTACATTCCAGCGCTGTATGAACGATTTGTTTAGGCCGTGGTTAGACAAATTTGTTGTAGTTTAACTAGATGACATTCTAGTGTTTAGCAGAACCCTTGAAGAGCATCAGGGTCATCTCAGGCAGGTCTTGGAGAAGTTGAGGGAAGCTAACTTCAAGATCAATGCAAAGAAGTGCGATTGGGCGAAAACCCAAATTTTGTACTTAGGCCACGTCTTAGACGGAGACGGCGTTAAGCCAGAGGATAGCAAGATCGGAGCGATTAGAGATTGGCCCACGCCACGTACGCTGACAGAGTTGCGCTCGTTCCTGGGCTTAGCTAATTACTACCGAAAGTTCGTGAGGAACTTCTCTACCATCGCTGCGCCTCTTCGCAAATTGTTGAGAAAGGAGACCATCTGGAAGTGGGATAAGGACTGCACGTCTGCCATGAAGAAGTTCAAACAGACATTGATAGAGTATTCAATCCTTAAAGTCGCCGACCCGTACTTGCCCTTTGTCGTCACGACCGATGCGAGTCAATACGACATAGGCGCAGTGTTACAGCAAGACGATGACAATGGGTATACGCCTGTAGAGTTCATGTCCGCCAGAATGCCTTCAGAGAAGGTCGCGACATCTACCTATGAGAGGGAACTCTACGCTCTCAGGCAAGCCTTAGACCACTGGAAGCACTACTTGCTTGGGAGACACTTCAAAGTCTATTCTGACCATGAAACGTTACGATGGTTAAAGACGCAGGCGAAGATGACACCTAAGCTTACTAGGTGGGCCGCAGAGATAGATCAGTACGACTTTGAGCTCAAGCCTGTCAAAGGGAAGTACAATGTAGTTGCGGATGCTTTGAGTAGAAGAGCTGATTACTTTGGGGCAATAGTACATTACCTCCATATAGGGAAGGATCTGCAGCAGAAGGTTAGAGAAGCCTACGCGCAGGACCCTATCTACCATGACCTCCTCAAGAAGGGCAAGGAGGCCTCAAAGACTGAACCAAACTACCGCACTACTGAGGGGTTGCTTTTTTAGAAGACTAATGTTTTTGACCGGCTGTGCATCCCCAATAGTGAAGAGATCCGTAGTTTGATTTTGGGGGAATGCCACGACACAGAGGGTCATTTCGGTTGGCAAACGACTTTAGCCAATCTGATGCGCGCGTATACCTGGCCGGGGATGAAGAATGACTGCGTAGAGTATGTTCGCAGTTGTAAGGTTTGCCAGCGCAACAAGAGTTCTACGCGCGCCCCGCTAGGTCTTCTCAGACCCTTGCCCATTCCGGATCAGCCGGGAGACTCAGTATCCATAGACTTCATGGACACTCAAGTCAAGAGTAGGCATGGCAAGAGCCAAGTCATGGTCATAGTTGACCGTTTTAGTAAGTACGCAGTTTTTGTTCCTTTGCCTTCAGAGGCACGTACTGATTTAGTCATACGAAGATTTTTCGACTGTTGGGTGAGTGAGAATGGAATCCCACTGTCTATAGTTAGCGATAGAGATAGTCACTTTACTAGCCAGAACTAGCAAGAACTCATGGGAGTATATAGATCTAAGTTGTTGATGTCGTCCGGCCGTCATCCAAAGACTAACGGTCAGACAGAGCAAATGAACAAGATCCTCCAACAAGTTATGCAAATGTGCATTAGGCCAGACCAGATTAATTGGGACGAGATGTTGCCTGAAGTAGCTAGTGCGTATAATAATAGCGTGCATTTATCCACCTGCCGCACTCCCAACGAACTGCACAAGTCCTTTAGACCGCACAGACCGTTTGAAGGACTCAACCGGGATCAGATTCACAGATTGCCGCCCGGGACCAGGGAGTTTGTTGTACAGCACGAGAAAGAACTCGCTACTGTTGTAGAGAACCTCAGGAAAGCCCAGCATAGGATGATAGAGCAAGCGAACAAACATCGTCGCCCTTCACAGTTTCAGGTAGGCGACTTGGTCTGGGTCAGTTCTAAGGAGTTTGCACCTGAGGAGAACATCTCGCAAAAGTTACTGCCCACATATAGAGGACAGTGGCCCGTTCTAGAAGTCAAGGGCGGCGAAGATGGACCGTCCTATACCATAGAACTTCCAGCACATCTCCACACTTACCCAGTTTTCCATGCATCGAAGTTGTTACCTTGTCAGACAAGTGATCAGTTTCCATCCCGTAGATCCATGATCCCACCGGATATGGATGGGAGATATGACATCGATGGTATACTGGCTGAAGATGTCTTCAAAACTGGAGGTAGGGGTTGTCCGCAGAAACAGTACAAGGTTCATTTTAGTTATCAAGAACCGGAAGACGACCGCTGGTTTACAAGATCTGAACTTCTAGAGACAACTCCCGATATAGTCCGTGCCTACAAGAGACAGCAAAGGGGTAAAGGTCCTGCCTTGGACTGAAATTTTCTCGGAGGACCTCGAATTTAGGCCGACGGGAGTGAAACGGTATTCACCAGTTCACAGTAGCGAATGCAGATCCCAGGGCTCGATCCCTAGTTCCCCGTCTTACCTGTGTACAGTAGCAGTGTCAACCCGTAGATTTGAACATGTGACCTGTAGGGCCGCCAGTGGTAAGTAGGTTCTCGTAGGTCACAGGGTAGAAGGGAATCGAACTGTACACCTGTAGGGTAGGAGTCTAGACAGTTCCGAAGTCGTAGTTATAGGATGTCTGAAGGGTGAAGGTCGTAGCTGCTACTTACCTGAAGGGGCAAAGTCGTAGCTGCCACAGTACCGAAAGGCCAAGTTAGAGGTTTCTAGAAGTGGCCTTTCGGAGCCTGCGTTGAACAGCTCGCTAAGTCAACAGTCCCAGTTAGGCAGTCCGGTCCTGTCCAGCAAGTACCGTCTGGGACTGTGTGCACCAGGGGCCAAGGGACACAGGGCAGACCAACGCCGCACAGAAGTATAAATCAAGAGGCTGCGTCCAGCCATTATTCTTTCCTGCGGAAGCCATGCGGAAGCGCTGCCTCAACAGCTTGTGCGAGGAGGTCTGCAGGAGGCCCGAAGACGAAGTGGGCGAGAGTGGCGTACTGTAGCCTTAGCAGTAGGGTAGCGGCGGTTGTAGCCGCCATAGCTGTAGCATAGGGGAAAAGTGTGTGTACTGTGTGTGTATATTGAGTATCGCGTGTGGGACATCCAGGGTGATCAAGAGTGTGAGCAGCGAGTTGTTTGGGCGCACAGCCGCCATAGCCAATTACAAGAGAACTCTTATCTGGTTACAATATCTCTGAGTACAGTGTGGGCGCATGTCGCCAGTTTGCTGTTTTGTTGTTCACGTGCATGAAAAGTGTGAATAAGTCGAGTCTGATTGCAATTTCCCTTTCTTATCTTTTTCATGATCACCATTCGGACTTCTCTGTTAAAACCGTAATCATTGTCATCTTCTATTTTCATTACAGCAATAGTGAGTTGTCAATCTTCCACACCGATGCCTAGTCAGACGTTCCTTGCTTATTTTCGCCAATTTTATTTCATTATCATCATCATCTACCAATCTGAATCTTTATCATCATCATCATCATCATCATCATCATCATCATCATCATCACTGTTTCTTTATTCATTTTTTCATCAATCAGTGGTTATCTCTGTGTTGGTGGTTATATTCTCTTCGCCCAGATAGGTTATGGTCTAGTTGGTAGGTAGGTTGGTCAGAAAGGGAGCGCTCCTCCGCAGGGGTAACACAAGGTGGGAGGTGATTGCCGTCTACGGAGTAGACCCAGATGATGGGAGCTGACCTGGGCTGGGAGATATGTATGGGGAGGCATTATCTACTGGCGGATGCAGACTAGCTCAGAGTGTTAGTTTTGAGGTACACCTTTTGGGGAAACTGGTTACCTCAAGGTAGAAGGGAATGGGGAGGTTCTCTCTCTCGTTGGGGCTGATAGGAACTTCATGCTGATAGCGGGGTTCGGCTCAGCGGACGCAGCGAGAGGAGAAGAGGAAATGAGGGGAGAGGAGGAGAGTACATGGAAGAAGGGGAGGGGTGGAGAGGAATAATCATCAGCATCGTCATCATTATGCATTATCTTTGTGACCATCATCAGAAAGTTTGGCTGACCAGGATTCTGATACTATCAGATCCTAGATTTCTAGTTGGCATTCAAGATTAGCTAATCTTCTAATTTAGTCTTTTTGTGTAATGGCCAGGTTGAGTTGGCACCAGAACGATGCTGGCCGGCGCTGGGGCAGTGCCCTGTAACCTGCTTGAGTAGGAGCTTGACGCTTTGTATAGAGGTCTGAGATTGCTGAGGGAGGAAGGCAATTTGCAAACTTGACTAATGGCTACAATCTGGCCGACGATGGTCGGAGTTGGGGTGGGTAGAGCTGGCCCTGTAACCGAGCCAGATTGGGGTGTGAGACCGGGCAGAGGCCTGATTGGTGCACAGCACAGGCTCAATTGTGGTTGGTTGGTTGGAATGGATAGTATTTGAGTGTTGAGTAGACAATCATTCTGATTAATCATCGTCTAGATCTATTTTCCACTCTGACATCCTAAATCATCCTAAATGATCCTCAATCATCCTAAATTGTCATAAATTATCATCAGTCATCAATCATCAATGTATTTTCATTATAAGAGACGCTGGGCCCGGTTCCCAGCACGTGCTGCTCCCCGCGAATAGATTGGAGCATTTCTTAATATATATTAAAAAAAAGAGAGAATGCTGCAAGAAATTGTGAATGACACATGGCCGCGGCATCTCAACTTCAGTAATCACCTCCTAAAGCCCATCCGGTGGTTCCAGGAAACCAAGCTCAGGCGGGCCAAAATACCCAGTGGCAGATCGCCCACTGGTGCCTCCTGACCAATAACTGGTTGATCGACCACACAAACAGGAAGTGCAGGGGCAGGCGCTGTGAATGTGCCAAAAATGTTTGCAGAATTACCTGGCACCATAAAGGGCGGAGACTATAGAACATACCTTTTTGCAATGCCCCTGAAAAGGGCGGAGACTATAGAACACACCTTTTTGCAATGGCCCTCCTCGATACTGACACGGCGCTGGTGGCATAGGATCTGGCAGATGACAGTACCCAGCACAGAGTGGCCATGGGATTGAATGGTGTTGCTGACAGTATATTACCCCAGTTTTTTATGCCCCCCCCCCCCCCCCCCCCCCCCCCCCCCCCCATAAAGTCCAGGGTGTTGTAGAGGCCAGTTACTAGGCCCACGGTGATTACCGGGAGCGGGCAGCCATGGCTGTCCTGAGAAGACGATGCCACCTCCCATCCCATCCTCCTAGCGCAACCCCTATCGCTACTATCCTACCTCAGTGTGACCAGCACTCAGGACCATCACCCTACCAGTATCGAGGGCAACTTGGACCGAACAGTAGTGACGGGCATCAAGGCCAGCCATGACCCAGCCCTGGTGGAAGTGGAATCGGACGAGCCTTGTCGTGAGGGAACTTGGGACGCCAGGCTCAAGCAATCTCCCACTAGCCTCTAAGTCATAATGAGAGGGTCTGCCTGACAAGCAGGCACATACCCCAGGATGAGGCAAGCTAGCGCCCATGGACACATCCTACCGTCCTTCCCCTAGCTTGCCCAACTCTAGCGGAACTCAGACTAGCTGGAGCGACTTATATCCCTGGTCTACCCCTAGAGTCTAAGCCCATCGTTGAACCAGATCAACCAGTAACACACGTCCTCTACTCGCCCACACACAGTCTACCCCAGTTTTCAAGGTGATGCCCAAACCATGTTCCGGCTGGGTAGATGGTCGGTCCTATGGGTGCTGTGGTGTCAAGGTGGATCCTGGTGATGGAGGGAGCAAGGGTAGAAGGGGGTGACGTAACAGAGAACATTAAACAGCTCATTAACACAGAGATTACTAACCAATGACAGGCAGCCAAACAGAAAATGAGCTTTTCTCACACAAAAAGAAATATTATGGGCAGAGTGGTTTCCCAGTTCTGCAGGGAATGGCTGGGAGGGGACAGGAGAGGATGGATGGCAGAGGTGTCTTGGCCAGGGGACATCCCGACACAACGAGAGAAGCGACCAGGGGCCGGTGTTGCCAGAGATTATTTCCTATATTTTCATGAATTGACGGCAATCTATCCCAGTAC